TGTATTAAAACACAAAATGACAAGAATACCCTTTATTCAAACTTGTATTTTTTTGTTTAAAAATATATATTTAAACTATACTAACAATTTTAATAAAATAAAGTAAGCTAATAATAAATAACACTCACATTACATTTATATTACTAATCCTTATATAACTACCGCATAACTAATCCCCACATAACTAATCCATGCATAACTAATCCAACATAGCTCAACCTTGCATAACGTATCCCTGCATAACTAATACATGCATAACTAATCCATGCATTACTTATTCCTGCATAACTAATACATACATAACTAATACCTGCATAACTAATACATGTATAACTAATACCTACATAACTTTAACCGGCAACCAAATGACCCCTATATGTTCACTCATTATCAAAAAGAATTTTTGTGCATATGAAAAAGTCAGGCCCACACATGAGGGGTGCGTTGAAACATAATCAAGTAAAAAAAATGTGTACTCTAACAATTTAAGCTTTTAGATGAGATGGCCACACAATTCAATATTATGGATATCTTGACTTTTGCTGAATGTGCAATATTGATATAGTATGAGATTAGCTTTCCCACAAGTCTATGATACCTCTACAACATTACTCCATCCCTAATTATTACGGAGTTGTTTTCTTGAGTTAATGATGATTGTATCTGTTGAATAAATATTCTTAATAAATTTGTTATTCTTGAAAGTCAACAAAATCATAAAGAATGTTGCGTATAATGTTCTTACTGATTATGTCATACTAATTAGGAATCCAAGAATTAAGAAACTTATCTTATTTTATGTACCCCAAAACTCCTATATGAGGAGCCTTCTTGTAAGTACTAAGTTGTTAACTATCAATTTCACATGAGTTTCTCTCTTTTCTCTTTCCCGAGCATCTTTTATTCATTTAATAGATGAGGGTTTCAGTCTTGTTCAATTTTCTTTTGCAGGTTGGGCAAGAATTAGTACCGTTGCTGCGAGATTACAATATGCGGCCTCAGGTGAGATCTTTCTCATTCCACTTTTTAGTATCTAAGATGTTAATACTTCATATTTACAGATAACTTGAAATGGTACTTCAAAGGTAGCATGATCCCTGCGCAAGGATGACATGCACTGAACAATAATGGATAAATAGTCACATTGTTTTAGTCCTTTTTACAACTTTTGTCACTTAAAAATGTCCTCACAATTATTTATTTTTATATCTGTAGTTTGTGGTCGAATTTGTGTAAAGAAAACTTAATGGAAAAGCTTGTACTTAGAAGGGGGTACAACAAAATGTTCTCAAACAAAACAAAAAAGAAAGAAGAAGGGGGGTACAACATCCTTTAATTGGCGACAAGACTTTAAAATTGTAAATCCTTGTTTCTGCTGGACGTAGTAGTTCTTTTTATTCTTCCGCTTAAGAATATAATATATAATCCTGCTACAACATTCATTGTTCTGAGACTGATCTTCGAAGCAGGAAACTGTTCATTTGTAATAAACCAACAATGAAAGCTTGTGCAAATTTTTATTTTATATTAAACAATGTACTGATTTGAAAAAATGAAGAGGCACTGGAGGAGGGGACCAGCATATTAATATCTTTGTTGGCTTGTTTAATAAATTAGCACAAATTCCAGTCAGTTCAATTTTAAGGGAAAGAAGTACCCTCCCCGCATAGGATAAGGGGTTTGAAAATGCATCTGTTTAATGCACTGGCCAAATTGTGATTTGTCAAACTGTCATACACGTCCATTTTTGAGGTAGGTTAAATATAGCTTCAGAAACTCAAGTATATGGTAAGTATCTTCATTTGGTGTACTGAAGTAAAAGTCAATGTATACTAATTTACTTTGTTATCATGTGACTTATCAGAAAATCTTATATCTTTATCAAAAAACTTTGTTATAATGCTACCTTCAATTGTACTAAATTTAATTATTGCCTATCCACTAGCTATGAAGAAAACATCACCTTATGTTTTATCACGNAGAAAACATCACCTTATATTTTATCGCTATTGCAGGCTTTATCTTCCTATGTGTTTATAGCTGCAAATATCATCCTTCACTCAACTGAAGAGTACAAGTCCAGGCATCTGAGTGCTTTACTGCCTTGTATAATTCCTTTGTTGACCTCACACCATCATACACTACGTGGTTTCACCCAGGTTGGTTCCTTTGTGTTGTGGATTTTGTGTCCTTTACTGAGCATATTAATTGGCGCTATGATTTTGATTGGGGATGTTTTCTTGTTGTTTTGCAGTTATTAGTGCGTCAAGTTCTTCAAAAATTGTTGCCATCAGATTCTAGTTTCTATGCAACCATGACTTTAGAAGAAAGGTGCTTTCAAGATTTGAGATCGTACTTGCAAGATAATCCTGACTGTGCACGGTAAGTTGTGTTGTATGAGCTTCTCTAAGATAATAATTCTGTTTTTATTTTTCATTCCATTGTTTTCCCTTTAGCATAGACAAACGACACCGTCTCACAAAGTAATGTATGTACAAAAATTAGAACAAACTGGGAAACCAGTTTAATCCCACAAGTGGGGTCTGGGGAGGGTAGTGTGTACGCAGACCTTATCCCTACCTAGTAAACAAACAGGGATTGAGAAAAAAAGCATATATCGACACGGAAAAAAACAGGAGTTATGGTCTTAAAATCCTCTATCACCAAACTGAAATTTAATATGTGATCACTCTAGAAGAACTTCACTATAGGACAGATAGGTAGAACTGCATTATAGGACAGATTGCTATTGAAAGGGAGGGAGGTCACTGGATGTTAGGTAAGTTGGAAGGCAAACATATATCATTCCCCTTAAAAACCTAACTAGTTTGTAACCAAAACATCTTTAACCAAATATACCTATGAGATATTAAGCATATACATATATCATTCACGTTGGAAAGCTAAATGCTTTGCTGCTGAGATATTTGAGCAAAGTAGCCTGACGTGCTTTCCAAATTTCTCTCATACCATACTGCATTGGATACACTCTGAGGATTAGCTTTATGGTGTTATCCAGTGTGCAGAAAATATAGTGATATCTATATTATGTGTATAGACTTGAACTAAACATTTGTTTCTTTCTGTCACAGGTTAAGAGCATCAATGGAAGGTTACCTTGATGCTTTTGATCCAAAGAAGTCGGTCACACCAGCTGGAATTTTCAGTACTAGAGTTGAGGTGAGGAATATTGCAAATTGGTCAAGGCTCATCTTTCCTGTGGCAGATACATAGTAACATTGGGAAGATTTTGTCTTTAATTGCTCTGCCTAATGGCTTGACGTGAACTAATATGATTATGCTAGGAAGTTGTCTCTATGATTGCCCTGCCTAACGTCTTAATGTGAACCACATGTATTTTACCCTTGCGGTTTCAGAAGCACTGAAACTTTAATTTATCGATCATTGTGGTATGACCGTTAATATGAGCATAAAATTGGCTAGTTCCTTAAAAAGCTTTAATCAACAATAATAAAACAATTCCCTTTATTAGCTGATGTTGAAAGCAATTATATTGCTAAGTCAGGTATAGCGACCATATCTGCCAGTGTTGTCTTTGCCAACGATCTATTTCTAATTTCTGAACTTGCCAGCGTAATGCCCTTTTTTTCTTACTGGTGATATATGTAGGAACTTGAATTCGAATGTGTACCAGCAACCCTCATGGATCAAGTAATTAATTTTCTAAATGTAAGTGCTCACTTTCGCTATTTCATTGTATTTCGTGGTTTTGTTGCTCACTTCCCTTATTTCTAGGGGACTAGGGAGGATCTCAGATGCTCAATGGCCAAAGATGCAGCAGCTATCAAGAACGAAAGCTTGCTTGTTGACAATGATGGAAAGTGCAAGGAGATAACTGGAAATCTTACCGAAGGGCAAACAGTTCTACCGCTGCAAGATATATCACTAGATTTCCAAAGGAAAATTACTGTTTCCAAACATGAAATGCAAAGTATTGCTTCTACCGTCTTGTTGGAAAATGAAGGACCATTAAAATCACTACTAGGTAACTGGATTCAATACTAATTTCGTATTGCTAGGCATCACCAATTTGGTATGAGAAGGTGAATTACACAGAAGAAGCATAATATAAATTGCCCATGCAGATAATCCGTTCGATCAGTAAGTTCATTGCTAGAGTAGTTTAGCTTGTGTGCTTGTCACTTGCTCCATGGACGTAATGTGCTTTCCTGGAATTTCCTCCCCATCCATTCCCTCGAGGAAAATTTCGTCTTGCTTTTTTATCTCAGCCTTGCTTCTATGTTAAGTGTCCCACATTGGTTAAGGTAATGACTAGTTGTCTCCTTATATAATCTTGGATAGTCCTCACGTCATGGGCTGGCTCCTTTTGGTTGAGTTAGGCTCAAGGTTTATTTTCTTAGTATGGTACCAGAGTCAGACCCATCTCAATTCTTGGTTTACGCAATGTTGGATTCCCATGTTATGTGTCCGCACTACAGGTGTCCACCCTTGGGCGTGGGGGGGCCCTGTGTTTAATGTTTCCCATTAGTAGAGAGAATAGGTTGTAGTCTCCTTGTATGGTCTTAGGCAATAGAGTAGAGATGGATTATCCACTGTCAAATCTCATTTGTAAGAGGTTATTAGTGAGGAATGGATTTTCCCTCATTGCTCTACTTGGATTCCCGGAGCACCAAGAAAGGTATGTTTCTTTATGTGGTTGGTGGCAACGGAAGTGATTTTGACAGCAAAAAATCTGCGAAAAAGGAGGATCACCTATGCCAGTTGGTGCTTCATGTGTAAAAGCTTGGATGAACATGTAGATCATCTACTATTGCATTTTCAAGTGGCTAATCGTTTGTGGAGGGTGGTTCCTAATTTGTTTGGGGTGCGATGAGTGATGCCGGGTTTAGTGAAGAAGGCGTTAGATAGTTGGGCTCACAAGAGGGGAGAGAGAAGTCCAAGGGCATGGAGTGTTGCCCCCATAGCAATCATATGGTTTATTTGGAATGAGAGAAATATGAGGGCATTTGAAGGAGTGGAACAAGATTTTGTAAAACTATAAAGTAGTCTTTTGTTTCTAGTTTCTTCTTGTTAGTTTACATATATGTATATTGTAGTCTTGTCCCACATTGGAAGAGGAGTAATATCTCCTTGTAGTGTATAGCTATAAATAGGGACCTCTTGTATTGTATTTATCATCCAATATCAATAACATATTTTCTCCCGTGCCTTCTCACATGGTATCAGAGCATTAGTGAGAAAAGATCGTTGTGCGTCATTCCAGCGTTAACCGGGAAGAAAGAACTTAGTCATCGTGCAATTTTTCCGGTGACCTAAGGCTTGTCTAAGTGAAAGTCACTTTCTGTCGGTGTTGTGCTAAAACCAACACCACCACGAGGTAGATCACCCTCCGACGACCAACCCCTGAAATTTTATCCGGTAGAAAAGCCGCCACGCGCCGGCAACAACTTTTCAGGCGAGGGTTCCGGCCACTTTCCGGCCATTTTTTCGCGAAACCTCTTGAGGACAGTGTGCTCTCCTCAAAATTCTGAGCCTACCCATCTAATTCAAATCAAATTCCGGCCACTTTTATATTTTTCTGGCGTGAACAGTGACCTTTCCGGCCATTTTTTGAAAATATTTCTTCAAGACAGCTTGCTCGCAAGGGAATTCTGAGTCTATCCATCCTGGTTACGACAAATTCCGACAAGTTTGTAATTTTCCGGCGAGCTACAGTGTTTCCGGCGTGAACATTGTTCCCATTGCAGAATAGTGTTATGTTTTCCTGCTGTAAATAGTTTTTTCAAGCTTTTTCTTCAGTTTTTTCACAGGAGTTACTTATTTTCACTATTTCAAGTTAACCCTACTACAAATTGTAGCGACATGGGAACCGATACTTTGAATAGTCGGATGGTTTCTTTAACGGATTATATTGAGTTCCTTCAGTACAAAGCATGTAACCAGACATCTTCTGAGATAGCTTCTGTTGTTCAAACAGGTAATAGCGTGACTTGTTTCTCCCAATCTTCATCCTCTGAGTCTTGGGTCATTGATTCAGGTGCATCAGATCATATTTCTTGTAACAAATCTCTTTTCACTACTATTTCGTATTCTCAATCTCTTCCAAAAGTAACAATGGCCAATGGGTCTCAATCCATGGCAACTGCAATAGGTCAAGCAAGCCCACTTCCTTCCTTACCTTTAGATTCAGTCCTTTATGTTCCCAATAGTCCTGTTAATCTCATAGTTGTTAGTTGCTTAGCCAAATCACTTAAATGCGTTGTTTTATTTCTTGATGACCGTGTTTTTATACAGGAACGCAGTATAGGGCGGATCATTGGTACTGGGCGTGAATCAAACGGACTTTATTACCTTATCCTTGCTAAATCACATGGACTCACATCTTGTCTTCCTTCTACAACTTGTCCTGGATTCACTAGACTTATTACATAAACGGTTGGGACATCCCAGTTTGTCAAAACTTCAGAAAATGGTATCTGGTTTATCTCACTTGTTAGCTCTAGAGTGTGAGTCATGTCAGCTCGGTAAGCATACTCACTACCATTTCCCTCGGCGTCTTGATAATCGAGTAGAGTCACCTTTTACTTTAGTCCATTCAGATGTTTGGGGTCCTAGTCGGGTCAGTTCCACCTTTGGGATTCCGCTACTTTGTTGGTTTCGTTGATGATTATTCCAGGTGCACTTGGATATTTTTGATAAAAAATCGATCTGAACTGTTTTCTATTTTCAGACCTTCCATGCTGAAATTCAAAATCAATTTGGGGTTTCTATTCGCACATTTCGTAGTGAT